TTTGCAGTGCATTAAGGGTAAATGTTGGTTCATAACTATGCAAAACTATATTACAGAGTGCCAATATAAATTGTGTTTCAAATTTGTGTGAGCCTGGTGTGTTAATCTTCTTAAAAACTGCTTGTCTTTCATCTGTGTTGCTTTATTGTCCTCTGTGCATATTTTTATACATACAGGACTTTTAAAGGCATAATTTGTAATTAATTACAATACTAATATTATGCTAGGATGCTTTCTCGTTCCCTTTTTTAATGTGTTTGACTCCCTTCGCCGCCCTCAATTGACAAGATGGTTACATATTTAGATTATCAGTTCAACATGCTTTTTAGGATATAAATTCTTAAAAACTTAATTTACAGGCTTACTTAAATTAGATTAAACATCAAATTCTGTCATAGTAACAAAATTTTACAAAATAAACTCAGAGAGTTTGGACAGGTCTCATAAAACATGCAGGAGCCGCCCCTGTTTACTGGTGTTGCCTTTCTCCAGCTGCTTTTGACATGTCCACTCCTATATCTGCTTGAAAAGGCTCTTTCCACACGTTTTCCTTTCACTTTACTTTCCATGAACATGCTTCAATACTAGTCTGAACAGACAAACATCTTTAGCTAAGATGTTTGTACAACAACCACCATCTGGAGGATGTCAGTGACTTTCTACTGAACAACTGTTCGATCAGCATTCTTCCATATGATTCTACATGCCAGCATCTCTGTATTAAGTATAATTTTACCATTGTCCTTTTGTAATATTCAAATTTTCTAAGAAACTGAATTTTGCATTTTCACAGGTTATGTCATAGTCTTAAAAATTAGAATAGGAAAAGGTCTATATAGATCTGTATCTGTATGTAATGATTATATGAGCTTCATTTTGTTTTTTATTTCATTCTTAAAATAGATTAACTTTGTAATGATATTCTAATTAATTGAGGGGCATAATGTTAATTTATGGGGGAACAAACAATGAAGAAATAAATGGGGAAGAAGCAAAGGGGTGAATGAAATTCTGTTGTCGGTTTTGGTTTTGGTGTTGTAAATTATGGGCCCCATCTGGCCATCACTTACAAGGCTATGTAGGTTCACTCCTGCTGCCTGTATGTCGTGTTTATCGAACAGTTTGATCCACACTAAATGAATCGAATCATTTAACATGAAAAGTTAAATGATTCGACTCAGACTGTTCAGAAACAGTCTGGATTGTGTTTTTTGGCTATGACTGGCTTTACTATTAAATCGTTTTCATGGCCAATTTCACATTTTCCCCGCACGCGTAACGAGAACGAGCAGACTCGTAGTGTGTTTGAGCGTTACCTGTGACATTTGCGGCCTCAGGTTGATCTCCTTCAGGTTGATGGTGTGGGGCTTCAGGTTGTTGAGCAGCTGGCACAGCAGCACCCCGTCCCGCAGGGTCTGAGCCAGGTCGAACACCTGCGCTGTGTCCGCCGTGACCCGGTGGTTCGCCGGCAGAACATTGCAGCCGATCAGCCACACCGCGCACTGCCTCCAGTACTCCATCTCCGCTGTCTGTGAACAGCGGGTCAACGCGAAAATGAAATTAAAAACTTTGATCTTGCTTTAAATCCGCGCGCGTCATAGCAGAAGACGCTCCTCGAGCCGTTCACTCGTGTCCGTGAACTCCAGCATCGCCTCTGGAGGGACCACCGAGTCGCTGCAGCTTTTTTTCCTGCGACTCACGGGGGCGGCTGGCTGATGTGAAACCCCCCTCAAACTGTCTAAACTTCCCCTTCCTGCACAGAACTCGCCGTTACCTCTCCTTTAGTAAGTCTTGTATAGACATAGCTATAACTTTCCATGCCACTTAATATCATAAACCCGCCACAATTTTTTTTTAATTTTAAATAGGCGATGCTGTGGGGTTCCATTTTATGGGGTTCCATTTGTATCAAAAATAAGTAGAAGTCATATGTGCAGATGTGTCGTTGCTATACGTTTTGGTTTTTGTTGTTGTTGCTGTTGTTTTGTTTTTGTTTAATTTTTCGCTACATAAGAGGAAATGTCAATTGTGTGCTTGAGGCTGTGACAGGTTTGTCTCATGTAATAAATAAATAAATAAATAAATAAATAAAAGGTTGGCTGTTAATGGGGAAAAATTCATCTTCCCTGTGATCACAGGTGGGTTCAGCAACCAAATTTTTTTCTTAGGTAAAAATAGCACTACTCAAATATATTTGTAGACAAATAAAAGTAAAAAGTTATGGAAAGTAAAAGTAAAAACGTATTTTGCTTGATAACATCAGAATTTAGATTTTACAATCAGAAAGCCAACAAATGTAATGTGCAAATTCTGGGTTGTTTTTTTTAAAGACTTTATAAAGATTTATGAAGGTATATTTTATATGTATATATATATGTGTATATATATATACATATATATGTGTGTGTGTGTGTGTGTGTGTGTGTGTGTGTGTGTGTGTGTGTGTGTGTGCGTGCGTGTGTGTGTGTGTATAGGTGTGCCATCCTAATGGCTCAGCAGGCTCAGCAAATAGAAAATAACACTAAAACAACAAATCTTGTTTGCAAACAATAAGTCTCACTTTAACATAAACTGGTGGGTGTCAGTGTCTGGTGCATTTATGGCTAAAATATATTATTCATTGAGTGAAGTTACTCACAGTGGGTAGAGTATCCATAAATTGTACTCAAGAGCTATCCTTCAGAATAACATTAACCAAGTACTTCTTCCTCCCAAAAAGTAAATGCAACTAGTTGCCATGAACCTATGACTTTTTATTTATTTAAAGATTTGAGATTATTTACTTAAATTTGGATTGTTGAAATGTAATCAATTTACGCCTGAAAATAAATTATTTTTACATATATACTTTTTGCTTTATTTAAGGCGTAAGGTTGTGGAGAAATTTATTGCAGGGTTAAATTACAAAATTACAGGTACATATAGAGCACTGTTCAATTCATCATCTGAAAATCAAAAGAGTATGGCACAAATGCAAATGCTAACTAGCCTAGCAAGGTGAGCACTAAGTAGAGGAATAGCCAAAAAGCCCAGGGTAACTATGGAGGAACTGCAGAAATTCACAGTTCAGAAATTCACACAAAACCTGTTTGCTGTGCACGTAAAAAAATCTGGCAAAATGAAAGTGACTGTTGCAAGTAAACCAATACCATCTAGTGTTCATACTTTATCATAACCCACAGAGGAACACAACAAACATGTGGAAGAAGACGTGGTGGACAGATCAAAGCAGAAATGTTTGGTCTGCCTGCAAACATGACTGAAGACTAACCCTGCTCAGTAAAATGAACCCACCACCCACTCAGGGAAACATGTTGGTGGTGTCATCATGAAGCTGAATACTTTCATCTGCAAGGATAAGGACATTGGATCTGTGTCTTACCCCCTCACTTCATCAGTTATGACATAATATGTAAACTTGTGTGACATTATGTTAAATTTATCATACTGAAGTATAAAGAATTGCTTTTGTTGTTGTTCTGTCTACCTCATAATGTGAAACTTCAGAAACATCTGGCTCCCTAACTCAGGATGAAACGTGGGATCTCCGTCCTTCCTGTGTTTATGCCAAAGGCTCAATAGCAGGGGTTGACCCCAAAACACCTCCAACAGAACAAATTCTCTCTCTGCCACTGTTGAACCCCTGATATTTTTCTATTTACATCTGACTGCAATAAAACAGAAACATCACAGCCTCTGAGCACCAAATATAATTCTTCACCTTATATAATACAACTGGGTTTTGATGGCAACAATAAACACAGTTTCACAGGGAATGAGAACATCATCCCAATAAACATAATACTTGAAAGGTTTTGGTTGATTGTTTTGTCAAATAATGTTCAGTTATAGCAGCCAGATATACAGGAATATTCAGTATTAATGTCTCATTAATGCCTAAACATATTTTTAAAAAGATCTACAAAACAGTGGCCATTTTATACTCACTTTCCTCCTCCAGGTTAGGGCATACATTGATTATATCACAGAGGTACAATTACTCAAAGCAAATACTTTATTGCTGTATATATTTCATATAGATAATAAAGCACACAGAGTATGTTTAAGCAGTTATATTTATGTAAGTAACTTTAAAAAAAAACAAAAAACTACTTAGAGCAATTTTACTGCATCCTTCGTTTTTACTTTTACTTGAGTAATATTGTTAATAATGCTACTCTTACACTTTCTGGCTATTTTAGCCACTTCCAGTTACTTTCTGAATAAATAACAAGGCAAACTGCATCAGACACTTACTTCCAACTTAAATTAAAGTCAAATGTCTTGTTTGCATACAAGCTTCATTGTTCTGGTATTTTGTATCTACTAAGTCTGTTGTGCCACTTGGAGGTAAAATGAAGGTACACCGAACAGTAGCTACTGCGTCTCACTGGAAGTATTTTGTTCTGTTTTAACATATAAATGTCCTACTGACTACTTAGATTTACATTGTGAAAACAACTGATTTGGATATGTTTGTCTCTTCTTCCTGAAGTTGTCATTTTGCATTGATGTAACCTATTTTTATTTGGTTTTTGCAATTACTATTTTAGTATTTTGTTGTTGTTTTTTTAAACAAGAATTTGCACAAAATATTACGTTACCTGACTCATTCCATATTTTTTCACAAATAAATTCATATGTTATGATAAAACAGTGTTGGAATAACCATTTTACCAAAATACTTTTTGGACTTACTTGAGTAATTTTGACTTTAATTCTACTTGTGTAAAAGTCTTGAGTACAATTTATTAACTTCTCTAACCAGCTCCCATAGGATATTACTATAATCATAATTCAGATATTAATAAATAAATGCAGACAAAAAGCCCAGTAAAGTAAATACAACTACTGCTGATAATAATAATAATAATAATAATAATAATAATAATAATAATAATAATAATAATAATAATAATAATAGTGGTGTGACTATTTTTTAATAGAACTTCCGGTTTTTAAAAAAAATCATAAACAGAAGAAGCACGTACGACACCGGAAATGGAGCTGTGCAAGAAAAAAAAAAAGAAGCTGGATCGTCAAAACATAAACAGAGCAGAAGACAACCTTGTGTGAACGCAGCTAGCTCGTATTGTTGTCTGACTTTTTTTTTCTTTTTTAGCAAGAGACAGCTTAATGCAGGCTCTCCTAATGTCGTGTATTTCCCGTCAGAGAACTCATAGTCAGGGCACTTAGCTCGTTTGCCAAGTAGCGAGGTGGAGAAAACAAATCTGCAATAAAGATTAGGACTAAACTAAGAAGTGCGCCTCGTCGGGCCTTCGAGTAGAGGTAACGCTAGCTATGCTAAGTTAGCAATTTAAAGTACCCGCATTTTGACAGCTAGCTTGTTGAGTACAACTTGAATGCCTTCTCTTAGCTTCGATGTTTGTTCGCCTTACACATACTATGTAGCTTTTACTTTCGATGAAACGAGTGTCAGGTTGAACAACAGTCGCAGAAGACTGACACCACAAAGCAAACACGGCATTAGTTGGGCCTCTGTGTCGGCTAGCTGGGAAGTCAGTTGTGTTATGTTAGGTGCAGCAATGTAGACCTGGTAAAAGTAGGCTGATAGTAAGTTTTAAAGTTAAACGGCTAAGCTGCGACGGAGATTATTTAATTTTTGGTTGTTTTCGCTTTCTTTTCTTACTTTATCCTCATGCTTGGTCAGCAAGCATATATTTAATGCTTCTTACTTGCTTGACATCTTACAGTTTCTACCTTAGGACGACGCAGGACCCAAAGGAGACAGAATGGCTGAAGCTGACGAAAAATCCCCTGTGCTTAATGGTGCAGTATATAAAAATGCACAGTTTTGTAGACTTAATCATAGCCATGTATGCTTTTGTGCCTGTTGGACCTGCGAGCTTATCAGAAAAAAATACTTGTGTTTATCAGGTGGTTCAGATGAGAAACAGCCCGGAGAAGAGCAGCAGCACAAGGACGGGGACGCCTCTGGAAGTAAAGACAGTCAGACACAATCTTCCTCTGAAGACGGTAAAGCCACTTTTGTATTCTTTTTCTGTTTCATTGAAAATTTTAGGAGCCACAGTGTGCTCCAGGTCAGTTTACTTCACCATTTGGTTCCTCCTTGTCCCCATTTTGTCTGTTACTACTTCCAAACAAACCAATTTGCACCTGTGTGCTTAATCCAATGCTTATCAGCTTTTTTTTTCTTTTGTAATTAAATTAGGAATTTTAGAAATATATTAGAATCAGTCGTTCAGGACTTAATCTTCACGAGTTTTACATGAAGGCAGCTGGGCGTCTCTAGCCTTCATTTAAAACACAAAACTGCAGAAGCATGAATATCCATAAGATGCTAAAGGTCACAGAGGGTAAGAACAATTAAACCGAGAGTGGCATTTACCTTTACTGCCCATCTTACTGCAATATTTATATCATAAGTCATATTTGGTTGTTCAGAAATATTTCTGGTCTTTGAATACACAGACAGCCCTGATCTGGAATTGAAATGAGCGCTGCTCCATTTGTTAATGCAACAATGTTCTGAAGCTACAGTTGGGAATCTACAGTAGAAACGGCCACCTGCATGCTCTGCTAACTGATTAACTTGCTCATATTAGCTTTTTTTCTAAATTTGAAAAACATTTCTCCAAGGTTTTAAAGAATCATAAGCAATATTATATTGTATAATCTTAATTATAGGCTTTTAAAAATCAGAAATATGTCCAGCTTTTCAAGGATGCTCCAGTAAGTATTGAATCTCTACATTTGTTCGTTTATTGATTCTTCTGTCATTTTTTTTTAAACAAGTAATGTGGCAGCATTTGTCATTTGTAGTTCTGGCCGATTAACTTGGTTGTTACTAAACTACAACAGCCATGATGTAGGGATGCAATTGGTTTTGTTGAAAAGACTCTGTCACAAGATGTTCAGCTTCCTCTGCAAAAGTTTAGATTCCATCATTGTCTGTTTTAGTCAATTAATACAAAAACTTTCTTAATTTGTGCACGATATCTTTGTGAATCTCCCACGGAGACTGCGTTGCCTTGACATCTCGGCCTTTTCCTGTTTCCACAGCTCCCAAAGAAACAGTAGAAGCGTCTGGAGACAAAGGCATACCAGAGGCAGAAGGAGAGACAGCTGCAAGCAAAGAAGGAGAGGAGGAGGAGGAGGAGGAAGACACGGACAGCATGGACGGCAGTGGACTGTTTTCTTTCACGGAGGACGGAGAGAGGGAGAGCGAGAGTGGGAGACGAGAGAGGGCCAAAGAGAAGGATCGAGGGAAAAGGGCCGCTAGAAAGAGAATCCGACCTGGAGGGGGCACTAATCACTCCTCCAGCTCAGACGACGACGACGACGATGAGCCAAAGGAGGAGGAGGACGACGATGACGACGACGATGACAACGAGGCCATGGAGTCCTGGCTGGGCGCCGAGCTCCACGACCTCCGTGGGCCGACGTGGCAGGCGGTGCCCTCTCTTCGCTCCAGGGAGATCGGCAGGAACTCACACCAGTTTGTCCGGCGCGTGTGTGGAGCCCGCGGCCTCGTGCAGAGGCTGGAGCTCCAGGGACGCTTGGAGCGGCACACTGGCTGCGTCAACACGTTGCACTTCAACCCCTCTGGGACGCGCCTGGCGTCTGGCAGCGACGACCTGCGGGTGGTGATCTGGGACTGGGCCATCCGGCGGGCGGAGCTGGAGTTTGACAGCGGACATAAGAGTAATGTGTTTCAGGTGAGGTGCGGGGACGAGAGGAACGGATCAGAATCTGCAGTCAGTTTATTCTTGGGTTGTTTAAAGTTTATCAGGAGCTGAATATGTAGAAATGTCCATTTGTCCAACCTCTGTCTGTCCATCCATCATTGTCCATATATCTATCCTCTTTAGTGCCATCCATGCGTTCTCTCTCATTTTGTCCATCCATCCTCTTTACAGTTTTTCTCGTCGTCGTAGCTTCATATTTAATGCCTAGTACCTGCAGAAATATCATCAGCAAACACTTTTTCAAGCTATTTTAAAAATCAGGTTTAAACTATGAGAGGAAACAAATTATTTTGACCTGAAGCAAATGTAAGAACCCTGTCAATTCTTTGCAATGTTTGTGTTCAGTAAAAAGAAAAAAAATTACAAATTTTTTATCACTGATGGTATTTAGGAGGTCACAAACCAAAGGACATTTTGCTGATTGAAACACAGAATGATCTCATACAAAAATGTAAAAGGTTACTAAAATAAATACAAATGATTAAAGTAAAACTACAATCTGCATGTGACTCATATGAGTTTTCTTCTTGCTCTTGGGTTCCAACAGGCGAAGTTCCTGCCTCACAGCGGAGACTCCACCTTGGCCATGTGCGCTCGTGACGGTCAGATCAGAGTCGCTGAGCTCTCGGCCACGCAGCGCTGCAAGAACACAAAGCGGGTAGCACAGCACAAAGGAGCAGCACACAAGGTGAGCATGCCGACAAAGGCTGTTGCAAACCAGAAAGTGAAAGACTTCTGAGGTGACATGCCAACTCTTATGCATTTTCACTTTTGTGTTTCTTCGTTCCATCAGCTGGCCCTGGAGCCGGACTCGCCTTGTTCGTTTCTGTCAGCTGGAGAGGACGCCGTGGTGTTCGGTATCGATCTGCGCCTGGATCGTCCCGCCAAGTGAGTTCTGTTCATCATTTGGGGTTTGACTGCAACGCGTTGAAGCAAGAAAAGAACAAGAACCGCATCTTAAAATGATCCTGGTCATCACACAGCTCACAAATGTTTCCCGTTTGTCTCCTTATATCCTGTTTGGCAGTAAACTGGTGGTTGTAAAGGAGGGCGATAAAAAAGTGGGACTGTACACCATCTTTGTCAACCCAGCAAAGACGCAGCAGTTTGCAGTTGGTGGGAGGGATCAGTATGTAAGGTATGAGCTGTGCTCTGGCTCCTGTGTTGGTTATCCTGCCTGATTTATTAGAAGACCTCTGAATTTAACATGACTTTTTTTTTTTTTTTACACGTTTTTTCCTCTTTGTTTTATTTTTTTTATTTTATTTTTTTAGAATTTATGATCAGAGGAAGATTAATGAAAATGAAAACAACGGTGTTCTGAAAAAGTTTTGTCCTTCACATCTGGTCTCCAGCGAGTCTAAAACCAACATAACCTGTCTTGTGTACAGTCACGACGGCACAGGTAGAACTACATCGTTTTTCATCTTTTGGCTTACTGTCAGTTTAAAGTACCAACATGTCTCAGTCTGACCTGTTGTGTTTCTCAATAAAAGATTTCCTATGTGTGTTTGTCTGTGCAGAGGGACATTAAGATTAGATTTAGCATCAGCTGTATACATTTATCAGTTATTTGGATGAGCTTTGAACAATAGTTGAAGGTTTAATTATCTCAAGCTCACACACAATACTCTAGAATCAACAGGAAATGTAGGAACTTTTAAATTAGAGTATTTTCTAGATCTGGGTAGTGTGAAAAAAGTAACTTTTTTTTCCAATTTTCCATCTTGTTTTCTCTTTGTCTATGTTTCTCAATATTCACCCTTTTCTTTCTTCCATCCCTCTCTTGTATTGTCCTTCCTCCTGTTCATGCTTGTGTCCTTTCTCAGTTCATCATTCTTTTCTCCTTTCTGTCCTTCCTTCTGTCCTCTGTGTCTTATGTGCTGGATTTTGTCCTCCTTTTTGTTCTTCCTCTTTGTTTTTTGGTTGTTTTGTTTTTATGAATTTTAACACGTATAAAATGTTGCGACATTTAAATTACTTGTTGACCTTTCAGAACTCCTGGCCAGTTACAATGACGAAGACATCTACCTATTTGACTCCAACCACAGTGACGGGGCAGACTATCGCAGGAGATATAAGGGGCACCGCAATAACGCCACAGGTATTTATTTTTTGCGAATAAAGCAGCAACTTTAAATAGAAGAAGAAATCATCTGACTGGAAATGGATGATGTTAGTCTCAATAATGACTGGAAAAAACTAAAAGTCTCAACAAACTATACCTAATTGTTACACTAACAGCAGCACTCTGCTCTACTATGGGAGGAAGATTATTTGTAACTTGCCATTTTAAAGTTTAGTGAAACTCATTTTTGTTACTTTACTCATCCCATAATGAGGTTTTGTTCTAAAAAGAAATTAAAATCTGCATGCCTGGGTCAGTACGTCTCTCTACTTCTCAGATCCGTTGGTTTGTAAAACGAATCGGCCATTTTGAGTTTCCCTCCAGCTCTCACACTGACTCTGCATTTCTTCTGTTTCACAGTGAAGGGTGTGAACTTCTACGGTCCCTGCAGTGAGTTTGTGGTCAGCGGCAGTGACTGTGGTCATATTTACCTGTGGGACAAAAACTCTGCTCGCATCGTCCAGTTCATGGAGGGAGACAGAGGAGGAGTGGTGAGTTTGATCAGCAGAGTTCAAAATGTATGTTTTCAAATATTACAAGAGTTGGCTAAACTGTAGCTTAAACTTCAAGGAGTCGGTTTGTGTAAATCTCACCAGATTTTTGTTCCGTTCACTTTTTGCTTTTAAGTTTAGGATTTGTGATGTTCAGTGATTGTTTGGTAACTCCAGGTGAATTGTCTGGAGCCGCACCCCCATCTGCCAGGAATGGCGACCAGTGGGTTGGACCATGATATCAAACTGTGGGCGCCCACTGCTGAAAACCCCACTGGACTCAAGGGCCTGAAAGAGGTATGACTCCTGCTCAATCCCATTTGTTTAAAATTGATTTTGATGGATAAAGTAAAACACATGGATTTCTAAAGTCATCCTGCTTGATTGGAATCTAAATAACCACTATGAATGGGTTTGGTAAGTTTCTGTCTGGTTTTCCTTGTTCAAACTAAAACAAAGAGCCTCCATTATGGGAAATTACAGAAGGGTTTTATTTAATATGGTACAAAAGGCTTCAAGTGAGTCCTTGCCTCTTTATTTGGTAAAATGTTTTTGTCAGATTAATTGAAACTCAATCCTTTTCCTAATTGCTTAAAGGCTGGGGTCATAATGGGGTCATTATGATGTTCATCTTCATATTACACCGATCACTTCTTGTTTTCTGAAAGGTGATGAAGAAAAACAAGAGGGAGCGCGATGAAGACAGCGTGCGTCATGGCGACCAGTATGACACCCAGCTGCTGTGGTTCCTGATGAGACACATGAGAAACAGACGACCTCCAAGGGTGAGTCAAAGATTTCATTAGATGATCTGTTTTTCACTGTGTTCGGTTTGGGATATTGGCAGGAACCACTTAGGTAGAACAAAGATGCTTTAAACAAAATAAGTCGCCAATATTCCTGCAAAATGCAACATTTCAGTTTAAAAATTTAAAAACTCATGTTAAAAATATACTTTTAACAGAAAAAATACTGGTTTACAAGGTGGATTAATTATGGCTGCTGCTACAAAAAAAAAATCTGAATTATTTTTGAAACCCAATAACTTTCCTATAAAAGCTATTTCTCTGTTTAATGTGACCTTTTCAATTTATTGCAAACTACAAAATGAAATGTAAACAAAGATTTGCACTTTAAAGTATACAGCATATATGGAGATGGATGGCCAAAAAGATCAAATTAATACATTTGGTCTTATATTTCTCATTTAGATTAAAGTAAAAACTGTATTAATCAAAAGATTATTTTTTTGGCACACAGATGTTAATCAAAAATTAATTCCTCATAAATTTAAATTTAAGAAACACTAAATAAAATGTCATTTGTTATTGGAGGAACAATCGGATGCCTACATTAAATTGATAATAGATAATTAGTGATAATAGATAATTTTGAGCCCTAATTGCTCATTTTTTATTAAAGTTAAAACACGTCAATGAAATTGCTTTTGATACCTTTGATAACATTTTATTCAGTGTTATGTTGTAAATGCCAAACTTGGCTATTACAAAAAATATCTAAAAAATAAATAAACTGAAGTCTAAAAAACTACAGATCAAATAAGTATGTAGGATCAAAGTGGGCGCCCTAACAGTGCACAGGTTCTACAAAATGGATTTAAAGCCTGATGTGCCTGATGCAGCTGTGTTTTCAGTGAAAGTAATCCCGTCTCAACGCAGGCTCGGCGCGAGGGAGCAGACGCAGACACCGACGAGTCCTGGAGCTCTCCGGATTCCTCCGACGAAGAGGACGGCGGTCCCGACCACGTCCAGTGCATGTCGTCCTGAGCCACGGACAAACAGACGTACACCCACATACATCAACTGATACTCACAATTTATTGCCCTCGAATCGATGCACATTGGCAAGCACTATTGACACACTGGCATGAGCCACAGACACACACACACACACACACACACAAGCAAGCAGACACATTTACCTAAACGTACTATTACTGTTGAAGCAGAGCGACGACGATGTGTGCACACGCCGACTGTAGACTGCGACACTTCCACGATCCTGTTTCTTTAGTGGGAATTTGTGCACAGAGGCTTAGTGAGCGCTTACGACCTTCTGAACCACTCGGAGGCCCCCTGTCTCTCCACGTGTTGTTGACGTATTCTCGGAAAGTTGTGTGTGGCGAAAGGCGGGTGCGATGTGCAGCGAGCTTTACATCACCAGCAGACCCATAAGCACAATCTGGGTTAAACGACTCCTGCTCTCGAGGAAGAGTTCAGCTGAAAGGAAAGGATTTAGGCGTATACCTTCAACTATCCCCTAAATGTGACTCCCTTTAAGATTTAGACTGTGTAGGGGGCGAGCTCCGCTTTAACCCCAGTCTCATAATTGCTTGTTTATTTTTTAATTTGGAGCAGCTTGAGACGATAGTTTTTTTTTTTTTTTTTTTTTTTTACATAATTATCTTCGTGCTTTCCTGTTCTTTTCGTCACTACTGGTTGCACTTTGAATCAGGGACGATTTAGCGAGCTTGATGATGGGGGAGGAGCCATCATCTTGAATTTGTCATAGGAAACACAGAAGCGGAGTTAATTTTATTTTTTTTTGTCCCTTTTGAGGTGGGATATTTTGCACTTGAGTGATTCTTGACCGAGAAGAGGTCGTGTCCTTTGTTTCTTCTTCCTCCCTCTCTCTCCAAACTGAAACTCATCTACAACAGGAAAGCTTCAACTCACTTCTTGATAAACATGACAAATCAGAGGTGAATTTACCCTCTCAGGGGGGGTTATGTGATTGCTTTTTTCTTTGTTTTTTTTTGTTTTTTTTAAAGCGCCAGACCCCACCTGGACCAGTTAAAATGTAAACACTGCCTATGAGTGAAAGAACGTAATAATCTCGGTTGCAGTGATTTCTGTTGTTCCCTTACACCTTATCCTTTCTTGCCATGACTGTAAAGAACAAGTTTTGTGTTGAAGCATCATGCTCGAGCATTAAAAGCGAATCCCTCAAGCTTTTGGCAAGAAGGTCTAAACTGAACTCTTGAAACGAACACTTGACCCAGGTTGGAGGGCTTTTGGTTTTGCACTCGGCACATAAGTCCTGTCTGCGCTGTTAACACTGGCTGAAAGATGAGGGCGGAGGGAGCGGCTGGGTCAGTCTGCCTGCCAGCCAGTTGCTGTGTGAGAGCGATAAAGTCGAGCTTTTCTCATTTTCTATGAGAACCGTAGTTAGTTTGAATTTATATGTACATATATATATAAATATATATTAGAACTGTAAAATACGAAAAAGAAAAAAAAAAGAAACAAAAAAAAAAAAAACTTTAGCAAATGCTGTTTGACTTCAGAAAAAAAGGAGAGAAAAAAAAGTCAAAACATTTGATTGGTATTGATGCAGAGATTTATATTCTATACTGTATGAGGACAAAATACTTTTAAAATCCACAGGAGAAAACGTTGACGTGTTCATTTTTCTTTCCCCGTTTCTTGACAGCTGTCATTACGAGTATTGCAACTTTGATTCTTGTTCAGATTATTGTTCCATAACTTCAAACAGTTCTATCCAGATTTTCCCACGTGCTATTGTTTTTTGGCATCCTGCATACGTATAAAAGAAAAGGCTTTGATTAAACTATTTTTCCCACCACTGCCTAATATTGCATTCTACTGGTTTATTTGGAAATATGTACAATTTGTGCAATAAAGAAAAAGATGATGCTCTTGATGTTGTCATGAAGTGGTCTGTCATTGCTTTGGTCCTAGAACAAAAATGGTCAGTACTGGTACAGATCTATCTTGATAAATATATACCTTAAAATAAATTCAGATTCATTTCATGTTAGAAATTTCAAGTTTTTCCACCAGTGAGATTTGTTTTTTGGTCACCTTTTTTTTCTTACCATTTCTTAAAGATTTAACTTGAAAGGCATATTCTCCTGTATTTCCCATTTTGAAGTGTGGCTGAGAAAACCAAATATTTGTATTCTATAGATGGTACAAATTATGGATGACCAAAGTTATGACACCAATTACAGATTTTTGTGAAATTGGAGTAAATATTTACATGGGATTTTTATCTGAAGGCTTTATAGACGTATGAAGATGCCAGTAATTGAGAGAAAAGATTTTAGCAATGTTAAAGTTCTTGACTGAAAGATTCTAGGTTTCACCCTAGAATCTTAGATCCCAGGGGAATAAGGTCTGTAGGTTTTCATTATAAGAATTCAAAATATCATAAATCTTAGTTTTTCATTTTTTTATTCAAGTCTGAGTGGAAAATCAAACTCATAATAGGAGTGGCAAACATTTACTCAAAGAGCGGCATCAAATATGTGACTCATCCGACAGGACATCCTCATCAAGCAAAAATCCTGATACACACACACACACACACACATTAAACATGTTTAAACCCAGAGATCTGATCTGTTAACTGAGAAGATGTAAAAAAAAAAAAAAACTGGAAGGAAACTCCAAAATCAGAACTAAACAGGTTTTAAACAACTAGACATTTAACTTCAAAACTGGTTCTGTTAATCGTGGCAGTTTCACTTGCACCAAGAAGAAACTGGATTACTGAAAGATGAACACAGAAAGAACTTTGGCAAAGACAGGCTGTTGCATATCAAAACCAATCTTTTTTTTTTTTTTTCTTCACCAGCAATCCTTTTGTTGAAGGACCCGAGTGTACAAAGGTTTTTGTAGTCCATCGTTTACAGTTTGAAGCTTGTTTGCTTCTCCTGCATGTAGAAGTCGGGATCAGACGTCTAAAACATTCTGTAACTTTGCTGAGAAAATACTCCAGGAGGCACCATCAGGCTTTCACTCATTTCTTTTAAGTCTGTGTTCAAACAAGCAAAAATCTGCACAACATCAAACATGAGCAGCAGAAACCAGAGCAGTCTTATTCTTTGAACTCCAGAAACTGCTGCAGTCTTTTTCGGTGCTCTGCAGACATCTGGACAGCGCTGAAATTCAGAAAAAAAATGATTTAATCATAGTATGCAGAAGGGTAAATCCATCCATTACTGTATTTTAAAAAAAAAATCAAGCACAGCTTACTTTAAATGACTTCCGAAGGTGGTGGTTATCCTGTAAATGGCAGTCTTGAGCGTGGCTCTGAGAGCAAAGCGCAGTGTTTTGTAGGTAAAGTCCTCCATGCTGTTGGCGGACCTGACCGGCTTACTGGAAGCATGAGGCAGCTTAAAGTGTCGATCTACAGCCTAGAAGTGGAAAAAGGCAACAACAAACGTTAGTCTGTCAAACATGTGAAGCTGCAATCTGGCTGCTATGGAAGAAGCTGTTAACTTTTCATTGAAATAGTGATATAGTCAAGAAAGTTAGCTTAAAATATATACTCAAGGTAATATGAATAGCCACATTAATGCAAAGGCACAACCAGCATTGCATGAATTGGAACAGAAAAAATACTGGATCACACTGAGACAATCACATAGCTGGACTTTAACTACAGGAAGAGACACACGGTCTCCTGTAAAACTAAAACTGAGCGTTCATATGGCTGACTTTCAGTTTTGTACGAAAGTCGTCGTTTCTCCACACCAGATGGCTTCTGACGTGCGGCGCGGGAAGCATTTGGGAAGGAATTAGTGGCGCCACCGCCAACATTTTACAAATAATGCAAATTAGGGCTCATCACATGTAGGTCATTCATGTGAACCACATGTTATAATTAAAAACATTTGCTGTCAGATTAGAGATTTTGATCATAGAGAGTTTATAAACTTGCTCTACGATACTAAAGTTCATGAATATTTACATTTATGTTACAAAAAATCATGTACCGAGTTACTTCTTGCTAATCTTAAACATTTTAATTATTGAAAGCTGTTATCTCATGTGGGATCGATTTTTACATGAAAAATTAGAAATGAATCAACATAATTAATCTGAGTCCAACACCATCATTAAGCTGAATACACACTTTCAATGAACCAAATATAAGGGATGCAACTAAGAAAACCATAACTGCACCATTCAGTGAATTTACCTTGTAAAGAGCCACATTAAACCATGTCAACTTACCTCTTGTAAGTGGAGCATGGAGCTGAGAATGCTGGGTAATGTAGTCTGAACAACCCCAAACTGGTCCTCTGTGAAGGAGGCCTGAACCAGGTATGACAGCGCTGCAGGGCAGATGCAGGAGACAACGATGAACAAGCTGGACTAACGAGTTCCATCTGATCCAGACGGAAACACAGACATGTCGTCCTACCTTCTAACGCCCAGATGTGAGCCTGGCTGTCGGCGAAGAGGGCCTGACTAGAGGCTTCTGGAAGCTGCAGGACAAAAAGTCAGTCAGTGAGAGTTGTCTGTGAGATGCAACACCGACTAATGAGAAACCATACGGCTTCACAGATCAGCTGTGATGGCAATTCAAGTTTTCGATTATGATTCTGAAGATTCTCTGAAGACTACAGGTGCATCCCAATAAATTAGATCATCACTAAAACGCGAATTGTTTTAAGTCTTACATTGTGCCGTGTCGTTTCTGTCATTACACGGCTGAGTTTCAAACACCTGCATGGATGAAGCATGGGCAGGTAGCACAGTTTTAAAACATTATGGTTTGGAAACTGTAAAGTTTTTCAATAACTGAGTAAAGTCTTTAAACCCAAGTATTCATCAGTACTTACCAGTAAAAAAAAAAAAAAAAAAACTCTCTCAAATGACATTTTCCAAGAAATAACATTGTAGCTAACTTCTACATCATCCTTTCAACACTGTAGTCCACAACGTAGCATTACAAAGCAGAAAAACCCCAATCATTTCTGTTTAATGCATTATAATTTTCAGAGAAAAAATTAACTGTAGTTTTTAAAATAAACACTCCCAAATACAAAATACTACTCTTTTAAAAGGTAAATGTTAAATAAAATATGCTTTTTGATGAAATTCTAATTTATGAAGATGTACCTGTATGGAAATATATTCGATTCTTCCAAGCATAATTTTGGGTTCTTTGGTTCAAAATATGACCAACTGCATATTTTAAATCATTCAAATATTTTATGAACATTGTACTTTAGCAGCGCAAAAGTCTCTAGAGAATCTAAGTGCATAAGCCGTCTTGGTCGGGTTTCTTTTAAATGATCGCAGCTGTAAATTCAAGAGTTGTTAGTTGGACACGTCTATGGGCCACATTACATGTTGCAGTAATTAGAGGAAGAAGCATAAATCTCAGGAGACAAAGTACCACCAATTGTGCGACGCTGACAGATATCTGGCGCTACAAAAGTCCCGGCGTGATTAGAAAAGCAAAGTTTTGTCAATAATTGATAAGCACAAATAACACAGGCTTCATCATCAAGCAAGAGTTTCAAAGCACGCGTTACATGACTCCTTAATCCAAGCTTTCAAGGTAATTAGCCAGGCTCAGTGTAACAGCTAGATGGAAAAGAGCTACATTAGTAATGCCGGCAAGATTAGGCCCAGAACCAGAAGGTAGATTAGTGATTTGTTAGACAAATGAAGATCTGTGATGTCAGATAAGAGCATGCAGCCGCCCCTCGGTGTTCATGCACATGCTTCACACGTCCTTACCTTGTTAAACAAATACATTATCAGCACCCGCTTTGCCATGAAATTTTTAACCTGGGAGAAACAATTAAGTGCAGAAATGTTTTGATTTCAAACAGAAAAAGAGCTTAAATCAAGTGATCACACTCAACTAAGACCTTTTTTTTTAAGGTGAAGGCATATTTCCAGTGAAAATAAAAAAACAAACGTGATTTTCAAACCCCGTTAGTGATAAGGTGGTGTTTGTATATTTGGTTTCAACACTTTTACTAATTCAGAAAGCCTTGAATTAAAAAAGAAAAAAAAAAAAAAAACAAATTCAGAAAAAGCTCATGAAATTATTTTATAGTTATGATCTCTGTAGAGAATTTGAGTGAAGAAAGCCTTAAATTTGAAGTGCAGAGCTGGACAGACTCATACAATGCCTTGTTCAAGTATTCACAACCTTTGATTGTTTAAAACTTCAACGTGTTTCAAATGGGATCTTATGTAAAAGGCACTATAAAAAAGGTTATAATAAAAATAGTGATTTATCCCAATAATCACCCTGCTAGAAATACAACACAGAACATTTCTCACTTTAATGAAAGAGCAAAAAGACTCAGTTCAATGCAACAATGTGATTTCAGTGAAGTTTAATCCAAATCTAAGTTGTTCTTTTATATTCTCTAAAAGATATTTCAAGAATATTTTAAACAAAAACAACATATTTAAAATGAAGTTAATTTTCAGCAAACATTTTTTTTTTATTTAGGAATATTAATTGTTAATCAGGTTATTGAAGTTAATAATTATGTATTGTCTGATTAAGTGTTGCTTATGTTCATTTTTGGTGGTTTTAACTGGTTATAGTTGATGTGACATTGGAAGCACTTTTCTCCTTTAATTCATGTAATACTTGGTGTTGGTCTAACACATAAAAATAAAATATGATAAAATAAATGAAATGTGTGGTTTTAAACAACAAAATATCAAATTATGAGGTGAATATTTTTGAAAGGCACTGTAACAAACTTATAACTGTGACATTTCAGTACCTGTTCTTTTCTGTTTTGAAGGAACTGGGCCAGGAAACTTGGTTTGGTGGGTTCCTGTTTGGGGCTGGGAACCGAGGCTGGAGAGCGTGGTGGGCTGCTGCTGACCTGTGACTCTGAAAGAACAATATTCTCATTACTTACCACCATACAGTTCAAAATAGGCAAACATCAGAAGTAAATAAGTAATGGCCTTGCTGCTAAACATTAAGAGATTTAAAAGGTAGAGTGTGGCCTTTGTTTAACCCTCCTCTAACCTGCGGAGGTGGACCAGAGTTTGGGCGCCCGCCTCATGATGTGCGGGCTCTGCACTGAGCCGTGCCAAGGCGAGCACTGATCCACCGGACCGGTGAGCCGCCGCAAGGTGGGGGAGGAAAAGGGGCTGTCCAGGTCGGGCGTGAACGGTGCCGTCAGAGGGCTGTGTGGACCTCCGGCAAAAGAGCGGGCGAAAACCGAAGTGGGAGTCTTGGTTAGGAAAGTTGGTCTTGGACTCATCAGGTCTTCTGTACCAGAGGAAACTTTAAGGTAAAGAAAAAAATGATCAAACTTTAGTGATCTGAAAGGCTTCACCTTTATCAAACGATTGTAAGCAACTTACATGATGTGTCAGATGACGTCTTCCTTTCACTGCCACTGGACAGAGATTTGGCCCTCCCGTTGGTTGCTACGGTTTCATGATAAGCCACAAGTCTCTGCGTCAGATCGGCCAGCAGAGCCAGACACTCTCTACTGACAGCGTTCCAGTTATGAGGATGCCCGCCTAGAAAAGACGGAAAAAAAACTACTGCTGAAAGCCAAACTGGATATCAATATGTACTTGAATAAAAGAACGAAATATCACAAAGAATTATGCTGCATGTGGAAAACGTGGCAGACCTGGCTGGCTGAGACTGAAGACTTCACTGCGCCTGGATGGAGAATGTTTGGACAGCAGAGCCAAGTCCTGCAGGGCTAGGAACTGACATTTAGAAGAAGAGAGTCAGAAAACAAACAACAAAAATATGACTGCGCAACAAGCTGCGAGTCGATATTTATACCTTCAAGATCATTGGTTGTTGGTCAGTGAGAACTCTGGGAAGACACTGGCGGGAATCTTCAGTAAAAGTTGGTTGCACAGGAAAACTGTACACCTGCAAAAGATACACAAATATATACACATTATCCACAATGTTTTCACATGTCTGCCAGTGGCTTGCAAAATATTGATACCACTTGAATTATTCAACATTGACATTTTACAACACAAACTTTCCTCTGATTTACTGAGTTTTATTTATTTATTTTTACAAATAACTGAAATGTATGGCGTGCATTTGTATTTTGCAGGAAGGCAGCGAGCCAAGACAACTGGGTCAAAGCTGAGTCTACTAAAAAGTAAAACTGTATCACATAGTGCCATGTAATAATTCAGAACAAACCATTGCAAATAAATATAAAGTCACTTCTACTGGGTCTGACTTGGAAAAAAGCATTTCAATCAGTTCACATACCTCTGTGACAAAGATCCTAAAGAGCAGCAATGTGGTGTACCAGGTGAAGAGGAGGAAGGTGGCGCTGATCCAGAGGTGGTAGAGGAGGGACAGGTCCACAAATCCAGTTATGCTGTCCAGACGATGGACAGAGCTGGAGGAGGAAGAGGAGATTCAAACACAACGATGCCTATCCAACTCCTCACAATGCTCTGAAGGCCCAAAACATTTACGGAACTTATGTATAAAACACAAACCTGTCCAAATGAAGATTCAGAGTTTTGCAGATCCATGTTTTTGGGATATAACCTGAATAAAACATTTTATATCAAAATGTGCAGGGGAAAAAAAAAAAAAAACTGATAACAATTGCGATGAGGTGCAATGAATAACAGTACAAAGCTAAACTCTATGGTTAAGATGACTTTTTAAAAATTCTTTAGGAAACAAGTCACTCACCCAGAAAGAAATAAGCAACAGTGAAGTTCCTGATAGAGTAAAATGCTTGAATGGCGCTGCACTTCAGCACTAAGGGCAGGGACCCTTTGAAGTGGAGATATTTGTATTGCTGAGGAAACAGTAACCGGTGGACTGTTAGTATAGAAGTAGAAATCAGTTTAGCTCGGGATTAATGCTGGCTATTTGAGTTAAGGCCATCAGTCAGGTAAGATGTTTACGCCCAGCATAATCTTAAATCTTTCCTATTTCCTTCCTGTGAATGCATATAAAGCATTTAGCAACAAACAAGTTAAACAAGTTTTGTAAACAAGAACTTTGTGCATAAATCTAAATTAAATATGGAGCTTCTCTTTTGCTAAAAAGAGTTCTGCCTCTTCTGCCAAGAAGAAAAATGTCTTCACCTCCAGTAATCTGTTGGAGTTGGAAACAATCCACGACATAAAAAAAAGAAAAAAATAACTCAGTTGTTTATTACTCCATCATTCTTTGCTTTTAGCAAAAAGCTTCAAATAAATTATTAAAGGCAATAAATAAGATCAGTCACGTTAATGATGAGTGTATGAAAACTGAACAGCATGGTTAAGCAGCCCTCTTGTCTCCTACCTGAACAGCAGTGAAGGAGACATAATTTATGTTATGGATAACTCCCAGGAGGCTGTGAGAGAAGCCGACAAATGCTCCCGCCAGCAAAAAGACCAGGTGGTACTCATTGAGCCCCATCTGAGGAACTCTGCAGAGGATGAGAAGACACCAAAGCAATTAAAGTTGGAGAAAAGTACTGAAAACTAAAACGGAATTTGGCCTGGCATCGACTTACCCATCGCTACTTTTACACGGGCACCCGAGTGTCTCATATCTGCTACCAACAGTGACTGCACAACACCAACCTACAATCACTCCCATCAGGCAGTGGGCAAAGGAGTTGATAACCTGGCGAGGGTGAAGCAGCTGACCCAGCAAAGCGATTTTAGAGCAGGCAATAGTCGGGATAACTAAAGATACAGAGAAATACATGATATGTGAACAACTGGACAGAATCCGCTGGCAAAAAACTGAAAATAATGAACTGATAATTATTTTAACATCCCAGTAATGATCCAGAAACAGAAAAAATGATAGAAATGGTAAAAAAAAAATGTTTTTACTGTGTATTTTTGCTCAAAGCAGGCAGTAAGCAAAGATAAAAATGCCATTTAAAATGCAAAGAAGTTCTTTATTTTCTCTTAAAACCAAGTTTCAAGAAGCATCTGTCCCAAATACCCAAAAAATCTTACTGCTCTCTGCCACTCACCTGTATAGTACTCTAAATTCAAGAACCCAACCATGGTGACCACTCCACCAAGCAGGATGAAGGAGAAAATCAAACAGGAACTCATCAGCAGAGACAGGCATTCTGGTATCAAAAGAAAAGTTGTTGTTATTGTTTAAAGCACACTTTCAACTGGGTCAGATAAACAGGTCAAAGAGCACAACCAACATGGCGACTGACCTGAAATAGTCTGAATGGGGTGCAGAAAACTGAACTTGCTGACAAATACAAAAACTGCTGTGGTGGGCGGCAACAACAGGACAGACCAGGCAATGCTGGCAGCAGCTCTCCACCAAATAACCTGAACAGAGAAGGCAGCAGTATTACACCAACAAAAGAAAAACATTTACGCTACAAAACCCAACTGATCATTTCCTCAAGCATTTGTAAGTAAAGTAAATACTAGCTTGCCATATTTATTCTCTAAATAACATCCCTGCTGCTAGGTTTGTTTCACTTCTTGTAAATATTCTATTGTTTTTTATGTACAAAGATGCACATACATTTTGTCTATTTTTATGCCATTTTCAAGAACTCCACAGTTTTTTTTCTTATGCTGTAAATTTACCCTCACTTTATATTATGTTACTCTTAGTTCTGTTCCTAATATTTTTATTTTTGAGTAAATCTGAATGTTTCGACTTGTCACCTTGCTTCTGGTCAACCCGAATTTCCACACTGAGAATCAATGATTTCTATTTTTTAATTATTATTATTATTATTATTATAAATCAACCTACCACCCATTACTGAATGAGAAAATCTGCAATGCAAAAGCGCATTTTGTGACAAATTTACCCAACTTTTCAATTTGTTTTCAAATGCTCTGTTTACTTCAAAGGTGTTGTTTAAAGTCTACATTTAGAGGAAACCCGTTGATTGTATATTGTACAGATAAGCATAATCAAAAACTTACAACCTACACAGCACGCCGGTTTTTCTTCTACCTTCTGAAAACTATCTGGAAAAGCTCCAACTCGCCAAATTAGATAGTTTTATTTAGTGACTGACATTTTTTCGATATTTTTTACCAAACCGAGAAAGGCACTATTAAACATACAAGTCTTTGCTAATGCAAATATTCGTACAATATGTCATTGCTAATATTATATTCACAAACTTTTTGTTTCCCAACTCTTGGATCTTTTAAATTCATAACGTATTTCTCCTGCTTTTTATTTATTTATCTGCTTTACATAAATTAAGCTAACTCAAAATGAAATTAAAAACAGTAAGTTATAAAACTGAACTCCAGGAAGCTAGCATAAACAAATGGGGTAGAGGTTAGCCTCTTAGCTTAGCGATCCAGTTTTGTAGTTCTATAAGTGAACTGTTATTAAAAAGAACTCACCTTGCGGATAAACCAGCAGCTTGTTTCTGAAGGAAACATGATGCTTGTTTGAAAATTACTCCACTCTGCGAAAAAGTTGTCTTCAGCTCTCGGGCTGTCAAATTATTTTAGCCTACGGTATCCACATCGTCTACATCGCGCCACATGCATTCAAGACACATCTGAAGGACCCCGATTAAAAGTTGCCCGTTCTACTGCCTGTTAAATGTTTTATTTTAAATATATTTTTTCTACATAAATGCAGTACAGAGTTGGTAACACGTAATGAGACACATACATAATTGTTAAAATGGTTTTAGTTTTAGTCCACAGAAAACGCAGTAAAATAACACTAATAAAACTCAACTCAAGGCATCAAGACAAATCAACACGAAAATAATGGCTCAATGGGAATTCCTACAACTTTCTGGGATCAGAATCGTTTGGAAAGCTCCGCAAAAAAATGTCTCTAATCGTCCTCGGCGCAATTTCAAGCTTCGGCAATACCAGCTTGATAAAGTACAACAGTATATAATTCAATTGAAATTGTCATTTATTTCAGTAATTCTTTTCAAAAAGTGAAATTGATTTTTAATATAGATTCAATACGCTGTTTATTTATGGTAATTTTTATGATCATGGTTTACAGCTCATAAAATATCCTGAAAATTAGGACAACAAATAAGACCAATAAAAATATTTTAATACAGAAATGCTTTTTACTGTCATGAGATTACCTGCACAAACATGGTAAAAATGACACACTCCACAAGAAGGGAAGGCCACCGAAAACCATTAATAAAGATGTTGGTTCTTCACAGAGTATGTTAGAAATTAAGTGGAAGAAAAAAATATGGTAGAGAAAGGTGTGCAAGCAATAGGGATAGCACACATTGGTTTAAAGACCATTTGGGAAAATTCATAGAGAGACAGCTGAATTCATAATGTGTGGTGCAGCTTGAGTTATTGCCTGAAAAAGGCATCCAAATGGGCTACAACTATATCAGTCCTTGTGTTAAGATGTTAGTGAAACAGAGACATTGTCAGAATCACCTTACCTGGACTAATGAAAAAAACAGGCTGAACAGTTCCTCAGCTGCTCCAGTTATCACATCACACATTTCAATAGCTGCAAGCCCAGACATCAGTTAGCTAAAATAAACAGCCACATGGTCTGAATAACATGTTACTGAAATAAATACACTTTTAGATGATTTTCTATGTCAATGAAATGTGCATGTATTAAATTAGAATATGTTCAACATCATACATGTTTTTAATGCCATCAATATTCAAAATTAATCAATTTAAAGCTTATACATTCTTGCAGCCTAATAAATTGGCATCTATATATATATATATATATATATATATATATATATATATACACACATCTCAGATGGCCTCTGCCAGTGGACACAGTCCCAATGTGTCCACTGGCTTCTCAACAGGTATTATATCTACCATTACGGAATTTCATTGTACGGTGTACTAAAAATATTATATTATTTACACAAAAAGTCAATATATTTATTTTATAAAAAGACAGAAAAGACAACACAGCAACAACTTATATAAAAAAGCCTAAGTCATTGTTCACAATACAAATTTGTTCTTTGAACCAGTTCAGTTTCAACTGACATGTCATATTATAGGATTTGCCTCTTGGTTACAGATATGTATCAAGCATAGTAATTCAGAAATTCTTTGAATCATTCACTTTAGTCTCACTGTTACCATCCTTGCATGAACCGCCAGAACTGAAGTCCTTAGGTTTCATTGTGCACAGAACTCTTTCTGCTATAATGAAAGACATTACCAAAGGAAGATAAATTGTCCTTGTCTCCATCCTGTCTAATCTGTTTGGTCTCAAAAGCATTAGGTGGGAGCTTCTGGTATGAGCTTATGGACATGTCAGTTTGAACTTCTTTGTGGGTGAAGGATTTCTGAACAATTGCAGGAAGAGCGAGCTGCTCCCTCTGGGTCTTCTTGTCGTCCCATAGCTTCAGCAGACGCCGCTGATTATTTGTCATATCCTTGAGATTTTGCTGTAATGACTGCACTTGGTCCTCTAAGAGCATCTTGGAGGTGGTCACATTGGACAGCTCTGCCGTCAGGTCATCAATGGTCACTCTAAGCTTCCCGGTCTTGTCTATTAAGGAGTTGCACTCACGCTCCTTTTCTTCAAAATCATTGACTATGTCTTTGGTGGTCTTCCCCGCAAAGTTGGGGCTTCTCTCCAGTCCGATATCAGTCCGAAGAGCCTTCACTTGCTTTCTAAGCTCTTTGTTGTCCACAGTCAAGATCTTCAGTTTTTGTTTCAGGCCCTCAGTTGAACGCAACCTCGTCTCATTCTGCCTGAGTTTTTCCCTGAGAGCACTTTCCCGTTGTAAAGCATCATCTCTTTCCTTCCGGCAGTTCTCCAAAAGTTTCAGCATCTCAAATTTTGAGGCTTTTTCAGCTCGACCACTTGCAGAAGCCATCCTGCGGAGAGGTTTCCAAATCAAGAACGGAGGAAAAATTCTTACTACATATCTTTAGGGAAAAACGGAATCCTTTAGTGGGGTGTTAATGAATCCGCAAGCATGTCTGCGACTCAGGTAGGTGACATTCGTCTAAGAGGGTTATCAGTTAGACAAGTAGGCTCCAGTGTAACTCAAAGCTGAGGCTAGAATGACCATTAATTATGGCGCCACCATCCCTTTGACACCGTGTCAAGTGACCCAATTTTTTTCCTATTTTGTTAATTAATCTAAAAACGTCGGCCCTTGTTAATCAGTGCAAACAATGGGCCAAGTCTTAATGACAATCTCTTCCCTGTAACAGAACTATGCTGTGTGCCTGAATGTGGTCCATTGCAGGGCTCAAGATTTTCCACCGCAGGTCATTCAAACTGTCACACTAGATTTTATCGGTTTAGCCCTCCATGCAACAGCTAAGATGGATGAGTCCGATGCTGGATGGCGACTAAAGCCCAGCGTTCGCTTTTAAAGTCAGACACGTTCTTGTAAATGTTGAATCTATACCTATTGGTTACAATTTCACCTTTAAATATTTAAAATGTCCAACTGTGGAAGTGGACAGGCAACTTCCAACACTGGCAGAAGGGTCACGTTGCTACCCGATGACAGCTGGGGTGACTTTAGGTTCTCAAGTCTAAAATCCTTAAAGTGCACCAAAAGGGCAAAGAGTTCAAGTAATTGCAAATGTTGACATTTTAATGCGACTCTTCAGTTCTTCTTCAATGCCTTGAAAAATAACTGAACCTTTATACATTTTGTCACATTACACATAACCCTCAATAGATTTTAAGTATCCATACAAAGTAGAGCATCTTCTGAAGTAGAAAGGTAAAATGAGATGACATTGGCTTTACATGACACTTTACATGAGATCAAGTCATTCCCATTCACACACCACACACTGATGATGGTAAGCAACTGTATTGTAGCCACTGCCTCCCTGGGGAAGTCTGATAGAAGCGAGGCTGCTATATCGTGCCATCGGCCCTTCTGACCGCCACCAACAGACAAGGTTGATAAAGTGTTTAGCCCAAGGACACAATGACAAAGGCAGTGGTAGGAGTTTCATGGCAAACTTCTACCACTATTGCCAGGCAATCCAACATCTGTCAAATCGAATGTTCAGTGAATGTAGACAGCAATTTCCATAAGGCCATTTGAATTAGTCAAGATTTTTAATACGCTTCAATCATTTTAATCGTATCATTGGCTGTATGTTTATCATTGTTGCCCGACTGGAAGGTGGATCTAATTCTTAAGTTTCCAGTAACCGCCATCAGGTTTTCCCCTAGAATTGCCCTGTATGCAGTTTTTGCCTCTACATTAACTTTGAACACACAAATTAACATGGATTTTAATAGATTTTACTATAATTTGCCATAATGACAACAAATTATTTATAGAATATTTACAGACATTACTTTGACATCTTGCCAGGCTTTGGCAATAGTTAAGGGCACTTGATATTAAGAAAATACAACACCTTTACCTTCAGAGGGTATGTATGAAACAACTATAAAAATTATAAAAAGAAATAGATCAATGAAATACCACTGATCCTGCAATCACCAACCACGTTTTTTTTTTTTTTTTTTTACATTTTAACAGTGCTGTAAAGTGGAAATAACATCACCACCACAATAACATTGTGTGTGCTGTGTAATACTACACCCCAATTAACTTAAGTAAGTTTAGAAGCCATCCCATTAGAAGTAACATACTGGAGAACAGTTTTCATTTTCAGAGGTCATGCCGCTGCACCACAGTTACAAGTTGGCCTTTAAGGCCTTAATCCGGAAGGGCCAGTGAAATCCAGTCCACCCATGACTTCATCAACGCAGGAACTTGAGTCTCTCTAATAATGCAACTGGAGAACCTGTAATTTAAAAATACAGAATAATGCACACCTTAGGGAAGACAAAAGTTTGTGGTCTGGTTTTTGACTCAAGTAGATCAAAAAGAGACACTTGATCCTTTACCCAAATAAAAAATAGGTGCTATTAATATAGGCCTGCAGTTGATAACAAAAAAAAGCAATTGTGACATCAATGTTAAAGTAAACATACTTAAGAAATAAGCCTGTTTAGCTCTGTTGTTTACCTTCACCCGGTGAATGCAGGTCCTTCATGACGATGTTCCATTGGTGATAATTGCTGCAGGGGGACTGACATGCCCTGGTCCGAGCTTCGCTTCGCTGAAGAAGTACATCTGTAGGCAAAGGCAAGGCAAGTTTATCATACACAAAATAACTTATGTATGTAAAAACAAAGGAAAGGAGTGAAGCAATTAGACATTAAAAACAAGAAAAATTGAAATAAGGAACATTAAAGAATAATTTAAAAAGAAAAAAACGTCAAAATTATAATATAAACCAAAAAAGTAAGAAATGTTAAAAACAAACTGATGAGGTATTCTTCACTGAACAATAAGGTTTTCAATCCTTTTTCACATGAGTCAACAGTTTCTAGACATCTCAAGTTTTCAGAGAAAAACTAAATTTCCTATTCTTGGTCAGCTTGGGTCCTGGCAGCACGGAGAATAAAACTGACCAGAAAATTAAGTCTTGAGGAACCTCACAAGTAATTCTTACATAGCACAGTAGCAGGCATCACCTTTAGAATAATGTGATCAATAATGTGTCAAACACA